GTGTGTGTGTGTGTGTGTGTGTGTGTGTGTGTGTGTGTGTGTGTGTGCGCGCAGGTGGTGTACTTCACAGCCACATTCCCCTATGTCGTTCTGACCATCCTGTTCATCCGCGGCATCACCCTGGACGGAGCCATCAACGGGATCAAGTACTACCTGACTCCACAGTGGCAGAAGGTCCTCGATGCAAAGGTATTCGCGCAAACACATAATACGGGGCAGATGGAAAGATGAATTCTTTGTGCTACTGCTGACTGTATGTGGTTTTCGGTTTTGTAGGTGTGGGGAGATGCGGCGTCACAGATCTTCTACTCCCTGGGCTGCGCATGGGGTGGTCTCATTACCATGGCCTCCTACAACAAGTTCCACAACAACTGTTACAGGTTGGATAAACAAGAAAGACCTTTGCTGCTTTGAGACTGTTTTGACATTTTCTTTACAATATTTTAGGAGATACGCTTGTTGGCCTTCTTGCTGAGAATTAGATGAGAAGATCGATATACCACTCTCGCACGTGTGCGACTGGAGCCAGAATATGGTTAGCTTAGCTTAGCATAAATGCAGCTGGCCTGGGTCTGTCCTAAAGTGACAAAATACGCCCACCAGCGCCTCAAAAGCTCACTAATTAAAATCTTATATTATTTTAAGCCCTACGAATACAAAAGTGTGACAACAATAAGTTGGGGTTTTTTGGAGCGTTATGTGCTGGAATATTTCTTGGACCCTTGTCACTGGGAGTTTGCCTGGCAACCAGAGGAGACTCCTGGAAGTCAAGAAATAGTCCAGATCATAACCCCAGGGATGTACCGAATAGATCAAAGCTTCATTCATAACATTTAAAGTCTGAATCAACATTCGAACGCTGTCCAGCTTTATTTTTCTTCTTTTCTTTGTTGCATTCGTTCTGTTTGAACCTGTTATTTGAATCTTAGTCCCCTAAGATAATTCTACTAAAATTTCACATGATCATTAATATCCTCGGCTCGCATGTTTCACAGAGAGTGGGCGTTCGCCTCTCCACACACACGAAGCGGATCAGAGGAGAGACAGGTGAAGTCGGTAGTGAATAACACTATCAGTAACATTTTTAGAGTCATATTCCAGTGGTGGCTTCATAGAATTTTAAAAAAGATTGATGTAATCATTTCCGAAATGCACATGTTTTTCTCCAACTAAATATTCAGCTTCAATTCCTTTTTCTTTGCATTTCAAAGAACACATTTTCACTGCAGTCAAAAACCTGCAAAGGGAGAGCAGACACTGACGAGTTATGTTTATTTAAGAAACGTTGATTTCATAAATAAGACTAAGTCATTTAATCAGATGAATTACTTTATTCAGATTGGGGATTTTATTTGAGGATTTTTTTTTTGGTGATAAAAATATTTCAACAGAAGCTTTATTCGAAAACCACAACAGACGTTTTGAATGTAAAAAAATTAAATTGAGTACAGTCCTACATAACCTCCCCCAAAAAACCCACATTTAACTCTCAAAATTAAGGGGAAAATAAATGCTCGCCTGCGCGTGAAATTGAATCCCAGATTTCCCTCTCCGCTCCGCTTGGCATTTCACCTCCCCATATCTGCGTTTTTTTCCCCGACGCTGTGTCTGCCATTTTTGTAGCTTCCTCTCGGATGCGTGCTTAAGATTTGGCACCTGGCCGCTACCTTTTTATAGCGGTTGACGCCCAGAGAGCGGGGTTTCTGCAGATAGAGACTCCGCCACACACTTCTAGTGGGTCGCAAATGGTTGTGAGAGGGATTGCTTTTTAATGAGTCTGTACATTGCTTTTGAGTGAAACCCTACGTATTTTACATTGTTGGCTTTCCAGAAACAAAGACAGCTTGATGATCGTGCATGTTTGAATACATGCCATTGGATTTTGCAAAGCACTAAAGAAGGCGAGGCTGCTGCAGTTGAACTGTAATGACAGCAGCAGCTACAGTGTGAGTGCTTGCCTGTGTCAATATTACCATGCTCATTTTGCATCAGGATACAGTGCTGCTGCACTGTTTGAGCAACACAGACCAGCATCCTAATATTTGCACTGATCAGAGAAGCTTGAGACGTAGGAGAAGAGGAGCTAAACCACTGGCTTCTGGAGGTTTCAGTACAGAGGGAAGAGACAACCAGCGACAGAGAGAGAGTGAGTCAGGGCTATAGGTCTACAAAGAGAAGACGAGATAAGGTAAAACAGGAGGAGGGACAGAGATAATGTTTTTCCGATAATGTGTTAAGGGGCTGGTTGCACTGTGCTTAAACGCCAAGGGAGCAAGTGAGGGGCAGAGGAGACAGTTCAGATGGTGGGGAAAGGAGACATGGGAGGCGATAAAGAGAGGAGAAGATGTCATTTATTCTCCCGAGCTTGTCCACACATGCTGACCGAGTAAGGGACATTGGAGGGGCTGAAGATATAATTTGTTCCTTCGCCAGCAGCTCGAGGTTGTGCTATCTGCGCACACAGCTGCGCGGCGGCCTAATCAGCTTGTGTTCTGCAGCCCCGTCCCTGTGGAGTTGACAAAGTCATCCTCTGTGATTATTCCTGACGGGAAATGTGAGGAAACAGAGCAACGGTGCAACCGCATAATTCCCTTGTTAAATCTGAACAAAGTCTGAGTCAGAGAGATTGAAGATTGAAAAAGGTGTTCCTCCAGCAGCATGCAGCTCAGACTGGTGCTTCTCAGAGCAGAGCCGATTGGCAACCTTTAGTATTAATGTTTCGACACTGCTACGTCTTCATCCCAGTCGTAATCATCTTGACCCAGAGAGGGTAAAGTCAGCCCAGCACAGATCTGTTAAGGGTTAGAGATCTCAAACTGAATCTGAGCTTTCTCTGCTATGAATACCATCATGAATTCAGGTGCTCTTCTTCTTCTTCTTCTTCTTCTTCTTCTTCTTCAGCTCATCCTTCTGGGACTTCAAATAGTGGTTTACAAAGAGCAACACGGCACCATTAGTGAAAAATAGCAACGGCCATTCTCCCTGACCTTGAGACTGAAGTCACAGCAGCTCCTGTGCGCTTAACCAACCTTGGATAGTTTGGTCAACGCTTAAAGGAACATTTTTTTATCTTGAGGCATGACACAAATGAAATTGCCGTGCAGTTATGTGTTAATAATGTTTGCACCTGCAACCTTGTGGCACTTGTGTCAGGTGGAACTGCAGCACTTATTCTCTCAAGCTTCCCTTCATTGCAACACATCTTGTTTGTAGGTGTTGGTGGATTATCAGCTAATGCCTGAAATGTTGATACCAGCAGTAGTCATCATGTGTGGTTATGTTTTAAATTGTGTGGTAAACTTGGAAAGATAAATAATCATCTTTAAGATGAGTCACCGCACGTCTGTTTCACCAGTTTCCATCCAAGCGCACCTCATCCCCACAGAGCCCAGTAATAAGATTGTAAAATCATATTTTAGTGTAACTGATTGTGTTCAATGTGCATGTGATATTGCCTCATATCGTCTCTGAATTGAAGCAAATCAAAATTGTATCGTGGCAGACTTTGTGATATCAGCAAATAGCTTATTGTAGATCGATATGATATCGTACCGTGATGAAATTTGTGATTTACACCCCTACTGATTATGGGGACTGAATTGTCATGTGTTTATTTTTTTAACTGTTTTTTTTATTTTTTAAGGAGTTGGGTGGTAAAACTATAACTCTGCCCCCCCCTTATTGAACGATGGGGATGCATTTGCTCCACTCGCTCGGGCGCCTTTGATAGAGATACTAAATCTCAGTTAGATCACGTTCGCTCTCTTCTCTGCTGCTGCGATCGCCTCGTTACTTCATAGATTTCACACGTTGGCACTATTGTCGTTGCGTTAAGAATTGCTTTTCTTTCACGCTGCATGTTATTGAGTAATTAACAGATAGTAGTAAAAAGCTCTCTTAATGTGCGGTGTATCAGTTGACGATGATGAAAAATGTACTCGGAAGTAGCCTTTGAATGATGTGTTCACAGTCGCTCATAGTTAATCAGGACATGGGGCACCACCCTACATGACCAGACATAAGGTTTTTCTTAGGGAATCAGTTTGGGTATTTGTATTTGGTACGTTTTCTCTTATCCTGTGCCTTCTGTGAACAGGGACAGTGTAAATGACAACAATGCTTGATACAGTGGTTTCAACTCCCTGCAGTTAAATGAATGCTTCTTCTTCTTCTCTTTTCTTCATACAGAGACAGCATCATCATCAGCATAACCAACTGTGCGACCAGCGTGTATGCCGGCTTTGTCATTTTCTCCATCCTGGGCTTCATGGCACACAACCTGAACGTCCCCGTGTCGGAGGTGGCCGACCACGGCCCGGGTCTGGCCTTCGTGGCCTACCCAGAAGCCCTCACTCTGCTGCCCATCTCACCACTCTGGTCACTGCTCTTCTTCTTCATGCTCATCCTCCTGGGACTGGGGACTCAGGTGAGGCTGAGAAACTGTACACTGTACATGTCCGACCATACCAACACCTCCATCGACACGTAGTTTACTTGATACAGAGGTCAACCGCTTATATGGATCTTGGTGTTCCTCAGTCAACCTTGTGTTCTCGCCACAAACAACAAGAATTGTAGAGTTGACAGACACCCTGAGGAAAGGTGATACATATGGCTCAGGGGATGGAAATGTGTGTTTGACGCTCCACCTCTTTGGCCCAGACGGAGTTATCTCAACAACCTTCGAATGGATTTTCATGGAATTTGGCATTCATTGTCCTCAGATGATGATCTTAAATGTGTTGGTGATCCCCTATCTTATCATCTAGTGAAATCGACTCGATGGATTGACAAAACATTTCATACAGATATTCATCGTCCTAAAGGATGAACCTTACTGACTTTGGTGATGCAACACTCAACAACTATTGAGACAATATTCCACCTCATTTTGACTAATTATCACTTTACTAGATCCATTATGAGCTCCAAATTCTAATTTCCAATACTTATATAATTCAATTCAATTTAATGTATTTGTTTAGCCCAAAATCACAAATTTGCCCCAGAGGGCTTTACAATCTGTACAGCATACGACATCCTCTGTCCCAAGGAATGCAAGTGTAATGCACCTCCGCATTGTCTTCACTTTTTAGACTCGGAGGTCGCCGCCTGCAAAATACCTGCAAAACTAAATAGTCTCCCATCAGCCTCAGCTGTGCTTTGTGTATAGTGCTTATTAGCCAATGTTTACATTGTCATTTTGAATTTGGTAGCATGCCAGCATTAGCATTTAGCTTAAAGCACCAACACAAATACAGCCTCAAAGGACTTCTAGCTGGGCTGTAGGCACTTGTTGTAATGTATTACCCTGTAAATATAAAAGCCCTTTTATTCTTGACCACCTAATTAAGTGCCTGGAATTAGGATTGTTATGCCACACCCTCCCCACAGAGTAATGCATATTTTTCCTCTTTAAAATATTTGGTGGAATGCATACGCATTATACTACAAAAGTGATGAAACTGTGTGTTGGATAAATATGTAGCTGCTCACAGAAAATACCGTAGCAAAGCATTGACAATATAGTGCAAATAGAAATTTAACATCTACTGGACATTTATTGCGGAACTTTTTCCTCTTCAAATGTCAGACTTTCTACTTTGAATGACGTTAGAAGTCCTTCTAGTGTGTAAACTGTTAACGTAAAAAACGTCTCCAATCTGTCGACATTCCTGGTACCCTCGTTCTCATTATGTAAGAAGACGTTTGTGCAGCAGTCCAGACTCGTCTCTCGTTTAATTTAATTCATAAACCCTTCATCCCTGTTCTGGTAGTTCTGTCTGCTGGAGACGCTGGTGACGGCCATTGTCGATGAGATCGGTACGGACTGGATCATCCGGAACAAGACTGTTGTCACACTGTCAGTGGCCGTAATTGGATTCTTACTGGGAGTGCCACTAACGACACGGGTGAGTCCCAAACACATGCAGATCGTGTCTTTGTACGCAACTCGTTCTCTCTCATGGAGGTGACTCTTTGTTTTCTGTGCGCAGGCGGGAATCTATTGGCTGCTACTGATGGACAACTATGCTGCTAGTTTCTCTTTGGTTGTCATCTCCTGCATTATGTGCATCTGCCTCATGTATGTTTATGGTAAGGATGGAAATAGGCTTTGTTGCTTTTTTTTAGTCTCATGTGAATTTAGAACAAAGGACCTCACATTATTAAAAGAAGAAAATATGCCGTGACACATAAACTATGAAATTCCATAAAGAAATAGTTTCAGGGCAGCTATAATAGAGTCCGAAAGCATCGGGGGTTTGATTGAAATAAAAGATGGGGACAGGTGCATAGGAGAGGAAAGTTCATTAAGAGTCGCTGCTTCTATTATTTAAAAGTTAAATCACCAATAATTATTATGAATTCATGAATTATTGTTGAAATTCTCACTTTACTCTGCTTTCTTGCCATGATTCACGACTCCGCCTTTATTAGCGCACAGCGGACTGGAGCAGATCCTGAAATGAGCACCCCTATGTACTGAATCGAGAATACATTTTGAATTGGGAATTGATTTTGAAGCGAATCGTGAGATACCGAAAGATTCACACCCTTAGACAGAAACGGTTCATTATGAAAGCGTGGCAGGCCGTTTAAGGTGAGCACTGCATTGGTCATGGAAAATGAAGGGTAGGGTTCACCTTGAGGTAAAGGGACTAGAGAGACCACCTGCTGACTCAGGTATATACATATATATATATATATATATATATATATATATATATTGTATGTCATTATTAGAATGTAAAGTGATCAAACTTGAATGCACACCTTTGGACTTTCCTTGGATAACTCTTTGTTTTGATGGCAGGTCACACCAAATACTTTAAAGACGTTGAGATGATGCTGGGCTTCCCTCCTCCTCTCTTCTTCAAAGTCTGCTGGAGATTCATCTCCCCCCTCATTATCTCTGTAAGTGAACACACACGCATACACACATGGCTGCTGGCCCGGGACCACTGTCGTAGGGATTGGACCTCTAATCAGAACACAACAATCGCTGCACACATCTTTTTGGCCTTTTCCGCAAAACGGTGTGGACATCTGATCGTTGCGGGAAACCAGCCCGCGCGTTGATGCAGCGATCTGAAGGACGTTGAGGGTGCGGTTCTAAACTTCATCCGTGTTGCTGTCGCATTGTGTGGGACCTGACCTACATTTGAGCCGCCATCATCAACACCAATCTGTTCGGCTACTGTTTGGCTTTGTTTCCAGTATAAACTTCTAAAAGCAAATCTTTCGGACAGGGAAATGGACACATGCAGCTGATATCAATGTGCTATTTCCCAAGCAGGCGCATTAGCCCACTAAGCTGCTGGGCCAACCAAGAAATTCATTGTTGTGGATTACTGGTCAGATTTCAGGCGTTTTTTTGTTCTCTCTTTCATTTCACTGCTCAGATTAATGCCTTGCTCTGCAGGGCCTCTGCTAGAACTGTCATGATTTATCATCCTAATTATCTGCATCTTTGAAATTAAACAGCGGACTGCTATGCTGCTGTCTCCAGTGACTTCACCTGTACTGATTTAATGCTGGTTTCTTTTGATAAACCGTACAGGAAGTCATGATTTTTTACTTTGACCATAGCAACAGGATGGGAAATGCTTCATGATTTATGTCTAATTCTCGTGGTATATCCTACGTGTGTTTTTACAGAATATTGTCAAATTGATAAAATAGTGTAACATCATGATCCTCTTTCTATGGTATGTTGGATGTCAGTTACAGATATTGAAGGAAAAACATTTAAAAATACATTTTTAGTTGTTTTAGTTTTCTCTGTCCTCTGTGTTTTTAAAAGAAGTTTAATTTCCATCAGCTTCTTCAGACACCTGCTCTGAATGATGACGCCCTTACTCATTCACCGTCTCTCTTCTGTCCGTGTAGTTCATCTTGATCTTCACAGTGATCCAGTACAAGCCCATCACCTACAATGACTATGTGTATCCCGGCTGGTCTCTGGGTGTCGGCTTCTGCATGGCTATGTCCTCAGTGATCTGCATACCTGTCTATGCCCTCTACAAGATCTCAAGGTCCCCAGGGGCCACCTTCAGAGAGGTACAGACACCCCGGGAGACAATGAGATTGGTTGTGGGTGTGCTTGAGTGAGTGCGTGCGTGTGCATCTCTGTGTCTGTCACTGTTAATCCTGCATTCTGCTGCACTAAGCTGCATTATGTTTTGGGTGCTTGAATTTTTATACATAAGTGTGCACACATTTATTGATGAAAAAATGGTTTATTTAATATTACTGTGAAAGCATCTCCTACTGTCGGTTGAAGTGCAACAAATGAAAGCAGTTGAAGTAGTAAAGTAGAGAACCAGTCGTAGCTGAAGTGTGTGCAGTGGAACAGTGAAAGAGGAGTCAGCTGACGTTTAGAGGCTGAAAGCAGTTGAATTGTCAATGCAGCTTTAACTATTGACATTTTTCATCAAGTGTTTTTGGAGCTGGTATTTGTGATCGCATTTACATCATGACTGGTATATTTTATATTGTACTTCCAGCTTAAATTAATTAGTTTCCCCTCATATTGAAGCAGCTCTGACTGATGTCTGACTCTTTCTCGCTCAGCGCTTCAAGTTCGCTTGCCAGCCAGATCCATCGTGGGGCCCTGCCCTGCTGGAGCACCGGATAGGCCGCTATGCCCCCATAGCCTCCGAAGACACGGTGGAGTCTCGTCCCCTCAGGGAGAAGGCGGAGCTGAAGGAGGAGCTGAAGGAAGAGCGAAAGGAGGAGCTGAAGGAGGAGGAGGAGAAGGAGAGGAGGGATGAGATCAGCCTCACCATCCAGGGAAGCAACGGCTCCACCAACACACAAAACAGCCCCAACCCCAGCGCATAGACGGCACCGTGCTCTGTCAGCGCTACCGGGGACACCCCCCTGCTGTGCCCCACCATCTCTTCCCTCTCTTCTTCCCTTCTCCTCCCTTCTCCTCCATCCTCAACCCACTTTCCCACAGTCCTCTGTGGGGGAGATCCCATTTGCTGGAGACCTTTACATATTGTAAGGGCTTATTATATCTATCCTAACCTCTTCTATCTATCTATCTGTGTGTCGTCTCTAGATAAACGAAGATAAAAAAAAAAAGCGAAAGGAAGAAAAAAAATTGGGTCGTCATCCAAACGATTTGAGTGTATGTTAGCGTGTGCGTGGGTGTGGGTTGTTAATTTGTTACACGTAATTTAATAATGCAGTTTTGTTTTTCCTTTCTTTTCTTCTTATTTTTTTTTTTGTAAAACTTGTATATGTCATCGTCATATGCAGTTAGAGGTGCGGTAGATTGTGAGGCTGCATGTGTTTGTTTTGTGCATGCAGCACCATGTTCTCCTTTCTTCTGTTAGCTGGGTCTGTGTGGGATCGGGGACTTTCTAGCAGCAGTGATTTGACAGCTGGAGACTTGCGGTGCGATATATACAGTGGTGCTGTGATAAAGTGAAGCAGGGTGAACTGTCAATGAACCGGCCATTTGCAGTTCGATGGCGCTCCAAGATGGAAATCGGCTCAATTCAATGGCCAGGGAAAGAGGCGGTCGCACTCATTCACACACCCATACACTCACACTATTGTACATTTTACAGCACACAGTGACCTCAACCGTAGTTCATCTCCGCTTAATACTAAGCCTGTTGTTATTTTTATGCTTCTTTTTTCGATAGAGCACACACATTTAACGAACACCCGAGATGGCGACTGACATGGCGGATTTTCCGTGGAAATGTCCTCCATTCGTAACTTTTTCCAATTAAAGCTGCTGAAAGTTTTGAAAACTCAGCAGAGAAATGTCAGTTGAAACGGTGCTGTAGTCTCTGCCTCCGAAGCATTTGTTTCCAGTTTTTCGACAGTGCCCATTTCTCAGGGTTAAACTCTGTGGTTACGTTTTGTTCCTTGCCTATGGAAACTTTGCCTCGACTAAGGTGGCCTTTCAAGATTATAGGGATCTGAAACCACCTAACTTTCCCCGCTGTCGAAAAAAGCACCCACACATACACACAAAACAGGTGGATGCAACGCTGTATGTAGAAGTGCCATCTCTCCTTAAGTCTTCCAGGCATTCTGTTTGAGTGAAATGCATCTCGGGATGTAGCCTACGGAGGAGGATCCGGGCTAGAGGACTTAGCCAGTGACAGGATCGTGAGTGTGTCGTGGTCTTTGTCTCCCGTGGGTCGGAGCAATCTGCCCCATTAAGGCATGTTACCAAAAGCACCTGAGTTACCTGAGTCCTGCACATGTTTTTGGTAACATATATATATATATACTGTTTATCAAGACTGGTACGGTGTCAGTCTCTTACAGTCAGTGGAACCTTTAATGTATTTACAAGCATTTTACTTCAGAGCTCTGAGCCAAGCTGTGCTGAGGCTGGTGAAGAGACAGAGAGCAGAGAGAGGCAGCTTGTTTCCAGAAGGATACAGAAAGAGAGTCTTAAATGAGTTATGTAGATTTAAATGTAGCTGTATAGTATTGTTCTCTCAGTAGAATTCTCCTTTTACCTCTCATTATTGTAAAGTAACTTAGTAAATAATTATAAAGACAGCATATGTTTATTTTGTACAAAAATAATAATAAAAAAAAAACTACAGAATCACAATTAACCCTGTTTACCATCCCTCATCTGTGACTTGATTTGTTGTTGTCGTTTTGTCGGAGGGTATGACAGGACAGAGAGGGGCCTGTTTCTCTAGCATGCAGGGTTGGGTTTTCCTAAAAAAGTGTCCGACTGGAACGCAACCAGGACAATTTTGTAGTATTATGGTCGCAGAGGCGTATGGCAGTCTGACTACTGAACAAATGCATGAAAAGATGTGTGAAGATCACGTGGTCCGCTGTCGTTCCATCTGAGATGCTTTGTTGGACGCTTGCTCAGGTGGTAGTGAGATGATTTTAGCTTCACAGTCAGGGGGTGGGGGGGTTCTGGGATTGCGTCAGGTCTGGCTGTAATGTCTCTTCACACAGTAGTTTTTCTTTGTTTGCGAGCTGTGATGTCGTCGATAGTATTGAATGGGTTTGGGGAGCTAGAGGGCTATGATACCAGGGTGAGCGTGGAACATATTCTCTAAATATACAAGATTGTATATTGCATACAGCGTATTTGCATGTGGAGAGAGACTTAAAGGCATAGTTTGATATTTTGTGAAATACTCTTGTTGTTGAGAGTCAGCTGGCAAGATGGGCAGCAATCGCATGTGTGTACGGTAGAGATGGAGCTGGAAACAGCACCTGGTTAGCTTAGCTTAGCATAAAGACTGGAGACGGGGGAAACAGCTAGGCCGACTCTGTCTGAAGGTAACGGAATCTTCCTCCAGCACCTCTGATGCTTACTAATTAACACCTTTTTATCTTGTTTGTTTCATACACACAAAAACATCTGCTGGTTGCCTGGCAACTGGTCCCGGCCAAGAGTTATTTGGCAAATTGTCGTCTTGACGCTTTTGGATGGATCAAACAAACGAGTTATAATGTGTTGATTAGTGCGCTTCAGAGGACCGAGGAGGACAGAGCCATGCTAGCTGTTTCCCCTGTTTACAGTCTTTATGCTAAGCTAACCAGCTGCTGGCTCCAGCTTCACAGTCAGCATACAAACATGTGAGTAAATCAACTCTCTGGAAGAAAGCAAATAAGCATATATCCCAAAATGGTGAACTATCCTTTTAAGGATTTTATGTGTGTTCATGCATGTCAGGTTTTTCAACAATTTTTGCAAATATCGAAGCACAGCTTCAAACTAAATCTGACTATTCCCCCACAGTTCCTCAGAAGAGGAGAGTGGTTTCAACATAAAGGTGCAGTTGCTCCACTCATCCACAAGATGGGGTGATGCTGACACTCAGGGTAGTAAAGGCACAACAGAGGTGGAGCGGTGAACTACATACAAAGAGCCCAACGGACGCCAGGCGTCCTCTTGAAAATGTCAAGGAAGCAACAATAACAGTGATAAGCACAGAAGCTGCAATATAGTGAGAGTAAAATAAGCACAGTGAGCATTCTGAAACAAGCATTTCTATCCAGAGAAACATACACTGGCTCTTCACATAAGTGGAGAATTGTAGCTTTGGTTTCGATCCGTTTTGACTTAATGGTTTTGGTTTACTCATGAAATATTCCCACCACACATTGTAATTTGTAACAGCGTTTATTTTTTTCATCAAATTACTGCAAAATCCAGGTGCTCTTTGAAACCATACATTATCAGCTTGCTTCTTCTGAGTAGAGATTCTGATCTAAGGAGTTGTACACTTTCTAAGTGAGGTTTTATTCTCAGTGCATAGTGGGACAGCTTGTAGCTCAGACCATTTCCTGTGTGCGGTTGCCTGTCTCGTGTATTCATGCTGTAGTAAGTGAAGCTTAGCCTCCGCGTTACCATGCTTTCACTCTCTACATCCCGACCCTTGCCATCCTTCCTGGCCCCACAACTTATCCTCCCTTTGTACAGTAATGTAAAAAAAATATATAATCGGACTGTGTGTATGTGCGTGTTTATCGTTGCTTTTATCTCGAGGGCGGGGTTAAGGGTGTTTCTGCGGGGGGAGGAGGGCGGGTATTGTTTCATTTTGTTTTTTGATTTTGTCATTTTTCTCGTAGTGTAATGTAGACGACGTCGGGTGTATTGTGTACTCTGTGTGTAGTGGATGAGCTCTTACTGCTGAGCGTGCATGAAGAGCAGGTGTAGTGTCAGTATTGATGTCAGTGTACCTCTAACCTATCAGAACTAGCCAAGTCCTATTCTGCTAATGATATAGTCTATCTTTTAAGAAAGAAAAAAAACATTTTGTACTAAAAGAAGAGAAAGAAAACTACATTTTATCTTCAGATTTTAATCATTGTTTATCCAATGTTAAATGACACTACTTTTTTTTGTTTGCTTTTGAAGTTGTATTCATTGAACGATTAAGATAAAGCCAGCTCATATGAAACAAAGCATTTCCAAACAAAAAGCTTTGGATCTAAACTTCAACTACAAAAAAACATGATTCGTTTTTAATGGCGAGCGCTGGTGTAGATGGCGGCTGCAGCTACGTGACGATGCTTTTATTTGACAGTATCACACGGACTTAAAGGGCCACTGTGTAGCATTTAGGGGGGGAATCTCCTTTTTAGTGTTTAATCACCTGAAAATAAGAACAAGTATTATCTTTACCTTAGAATGAGCCCTTCATGGAGCGGGACCGCCGTGTTGCACCATTTCTACAGTAGCCCAGAATGGACAAATCAAACACTGGCTCTGGATAGGACCGTTCTCGTTTTCGCGTTGGCCGCCGTAGTTCTCTCACATGTTTGGCACGTGGAGGAACTTTCAGTTGGTTGCAATCTGCAACCTTTACTCTAGATGCCGCCAAATTGTACACACTGGCCCTTTAAAGCTATACTGTACATAAGTGTATATCTTACACAGTGCAGTGCCAACAGTCGTATATCGCTGTTTACCTTTAATATTCTGTGGCCCTTAACCCAAACATTTTTTTTCTAGTAGTATAGTTGTTACAAAATGTTAAAAAATCAGCAAAATCAAAACACCAAAATTACTCTGCCACCAAGACCGAAATAGCATCAGGACCCATTAACTCATCATTCTTGTGCAGCTCTAATGCATAATCACAACATCACATTGTTTCATGGACATTTTAGGAAATTATGACATATATGTTTCCGATAAGGGCCCAGTTGCGTTTATATTTAGATTTCTCTTGTTGGTAAAGTAAACCTTCATCTATCTGGCTGCCAAAAGACTAAGACCATTTTAGTCCTCCAGGAAACCTAAAGAAAAAAATACAACCGAGAGAAGTGAATTATTCACCATGTCTTCAGATTCTAATATGCTATTGCCTACCCTGATCTTACACTGAAGTGGCTGTGCAGAAAGTCACTGATGTTGAAGAACGTGAAGCTTCCGTCCATTTTTATACACAAATTCACAGCACAAACTGCTCTACTGAACTGAAAGACAAAACTGTGATTTGTACCTTGTGTCTGTAGTTCTCTGTAAATTACAGACCATTACCTCTTGAATTTCTTACTACTGCTCATATAAGCATATTCTTATGTTTCAGCACTTTAGGGAAATCATTTGTTTCTTTTGTATAAGCAACAAGGGGGAGGGGAAAAAAACGACGTATATTCAGAATAATAATTCACACTTCCATTCTGACAAAAGAAAACAAGTGTGGTAAAATAATGTCTCATCTTCAGTCGACTGGCTGAAAGAAACTGTCCAAGAGTCAGTGGACTAATGCTGTGTTGTTGCTATGCCAATGTAAATTGTTTCATGGAGGGAGAGGAGAGGAAAAGCACAAGTGAGAAAAAGAGAACACAGTTCTTCTGGTATCCTCTATCATATCTATCTGTCTATCTATCTAACCATGTCTGTTCTTCTTGTTCTTCAACCTTTAGGGCCAAAATTCATTGAAATGTCTTAGTCCTGTCGGCTGTATATCGTAAACTGTTGAATTACAAAATGGTAAATAAAATCTATTTTAAAGATCAATGCGCTGTAAGTGTTCTTGTGTCGTTTCATGATGGCTCTTTTAATATGCCTCCATTCCATTCAAGATGAATGAACATCTTTTACATTATATTTGCTTATTATTGGGCACTTCACATTTACTTCAAATGCATGCTTTCCTTTCTGATTCAGTTATCCTTCATGTCGTGGGTGTTGCTACTTGAAAAACATTTAGTGAGACATAGAGTGAGCACTAAAGCTGTGTTTGAATTATTCATACTGCACATTATGGAAATGTTGGTGTTTGTATATACTTGATGGATGGTAGTATGGAAAAAGACTATGAAAAGAAAAAGGATCTCGTACAACATGTACAAATATACACTATGAAATCTACACGAGCAGAAATTGTCCCATAATTCTCTATTTATCTGCCGGTGATTCCAGCAGACCTTTTGGGTTCATGCCACCGTAAAGTATGTCATATCTCAAGGAGAAAAAAACAAACCCAGTAAAAGTTAAATTCATAAAGAAATTGCTCATTTCAATCCACTCAGCTTTTGCTGCTACAACCCATACTTGGTCTGGTATGACCAGTTGCTTATTGTGGCTAAGATTAGCTAAAGTTAGCAAACATTACATTAAAAACATTGCTGTGAGTCCATTTGCCGATAACTCTTTACAATTTGTGTACAATTGTCATGGCTTTAAGGTGAATCACTGTCTGTAAATGATAATATTCCTGGCACTTTAAGTCCTAACTGAGTGCCATGAAAAGCCTTTTACAGTATATTACATGGCTGACACCCACACGCTTCAGCCAAAGGCCTTCATAGAGAAATACACACACACAGTCACTTAAATGGCACAAGGTACGACACAATTGACTTACAAGTGTACAGAGTATAGCGGTGTAACAAAGTACTGTCATGTTCCACTTACGAGTCGGAGACACGAGTAAAGTCCTTGCATTCCGTGATTGGCCAGAGAAAGTCTGTCCACTAATACATAACTCCAAAATGTACAGGACTGCTACACCACCCACTACAAAGAGCAGCGGAAACATTCCACATGAATACACCCACACAATGCAGATGGACAATGCAGTACACTTTTATTTTTTATCTTTAACTAGGAAGATCAAGATGGACTACCGTCACTTCCAGAGAAACCAGGCTCACTACTAACTATTTCCCATCCCAGATGGAACAAACAAAGTCTCTGAAACAGCCTCTGCCTTCGCGGCTGGGCGCCTGGGGGGCTGTGTCCAAGGGACCAGGGGGCGAGGACTTAACCACTGGCGAGGGAACAGGGGAAGAGGAGGGGGGCGACTCACTCTCTGGCGGGCAGCTTGTGCCCTGGGGGTCCGGGGACCAGGACATGGGCGTTGTGGGGTTTATGTGGGCCTCGGACACAGACACTGGAGCCCCCTGCGTTACCCCAGGGGCGCTGGCCCATGAGCGAGCAGGGCGCGAGGGGGACGGCTGGGGAGGAGATCTCTGTGTCCCAGATGCAAGTTGAGAAGAGACCCCTCTGTAAAAGGCCAGCCTGTCTCTATGGAGCACCACTCTCCTTCTGTTGAAAGGTAGCTGCACCCTGTAGACGACCACACCCACCTCCTCCAATACTCTGCAGACCGGCCCATTGGCTGTCGAGCTTTGGGCACCGCCCCTTTTCCTGCTCGGGGTTGTAAACCCAGACCAGCTCTCCAGCCTGAAAGTGCTTCCCTTTTTCCCTCACGTCATAGTTGCATTTTTGTCTCACGCTGGTACTTAGCTGCTGTTTCCGGGCAAAAACATGGGCTGAATCGAGGTGGTCCTGCAGTCTCCTGGCGTACTCAGGGAAACACCCGGGACTCAAAGTTCCTCCTCTCTATGGTCTCCGGTACTCTGAAATGGCTAAACATGCCTTTCACCAGGGCCTCCATGATTGTCTCTGCCTCCTGGTCTGGGAGAGTGTACACCTCTGGCCATTTTGTGAAATAGTCTATGGCGGTGAGTACGTAGCGGTTTCCCCTGTATGAGCGAAGTAACGGACCCACCACATCCACTGCCACCCTTACCCTCGGTGCCCCCACTGGAAACTGTTGCAATGGAGTGTGGCAACGACCTGGGGGACCTGTAGAGGGGTCACAGTGGCAGCAAAAGTCCTCAACGTCTCTCCTGCACTGCAAAGCCCTGCAAAGCCCTGGTGGAGACATCAGAGTGTTTTAGAAACACCAAAATGTCTTTTCCAGCACAGCCTCCCGCAGGTCCTTGGGGACCACCACCTGCCACCTTTCCTCCCCCTGTTGCTGGTTCCTTCCACGCCCGCTGGAGTACGCCCTGACTCAGGCGCAGAGACCCAAACTGAGACCAGAGCCCTTTAATTGCTTTGGATTACACTGCCACCTCTTCCCACGGTGATCACCGCTGTGCCTCCACCCACTGCAATACAGGCTGTAGGTCCTTGTCCTGCACCTGGTGTTGTCTCCACTCTGCCAAGTCCACTGTCTGCAGATCCCGGCATATGAACTGCCACAGCCCCCGCCCGGTGCAGAAAGCCGTTTTGGGACGGTCCTCTGGGGAGAGAGGTACCTGGTAATACCCACTACGGAGGTCCAAGGAGGAGAACAAGGAGGACCCCAAGACCAGGTCCAGGGACTCGTCAATGCTAGGCAGTGGGTATTAATATCTGCCCTCAGCATGCTTGACACAACTTAATCACAAGCCTGCTGACGAGCAGCGGGAGGCGGCGTGGGCGGCACTTGACAGGCCGTGCATCCCCTATGTCAATCCCATGCTGTAGATGAGTTTGCCCCACCTCCTTCTCACTCCTGGCTAAAGTGCCTTGGAACTCTAGCAGAAGCTGCCCAAACTTTTCCTGCTGCTGGGGATATAGGACGCCACAGTTCTTCCTCCACACCTCCCTTACTGCGAAAGCGGGAAGATTGCAGGAAGCAGTCTCTACCGTACTCGCTGCTGGTGTGAGAGGTCTGAAAGGAGGCACAGCAGGGGTGTGGATGGGGGTCACAGTGACAGCAGGCCCCCCCTTGGAAGCTCACCATGCCTCCTTAAAGGTCCAGCTGGCAGCCCGTGGCCCTCAAAAAGTCCCAATCAAGAATACATGGGTCGTGCACTGAAGCTATCCATACCAGGTGACGTACAGACCTCCCCACCACAGACACAGTCAACTTGTGTGCCAGCTGCAGTCGCACAGAGGTGGGGTCAAACAGAGTCCAGTCCGGGACCATATCAGGCCTCACCAACGTTACCGTTGACCTGTGTCCACTAGTGCGGAGCAGGGCACTCAACTTCCACAACTTGAAGGTGCACGCTGTTTTAGCTAATATGCTAGGCTAAATGCTAAAATGCTCAAATGTAATCCCTCCGCAGTAACTTCTACCTTCAGTGAGGATTTTCTGCTGTTTGAGACTGCAGCGCGACATGTTTGAAAATATCGAGCAGTGCAATGGGACCTTTGAGTGGGACAGAGAAACTGGGACTGGTTGTATTGGGACTGGGAAACTTGAATAAAAAATCCATGAGCGATTTTTTTGTGCAGGATTGTGGCAGGCCTATTCTCTAGGATTAAACTAATACTAATAGGCTAACATCCATAAAGTGCTGCCTCTGATAATCAGTCATGTGTGCCAATGATCGATATCTGCATAGTTATCATGCCACATAAATATTTAGTAATTTTGTCAGTGTGGAAATGTTACTGAAACAGTATTTAGACCACACGTTCAACAGTTTAATGCCCGGGTGACCCACACAGAACAAAGAAGAGTTTTATGTGAAGAATTTCCAACAAACAACAATACAATGAAACATAATATCCAAAAAAAGAACTCATCCGTGGCGTCAGCACTGGACAGCATAACTGATCAAAAACCTGCAATACTGCAGGTTCAATTCAACAAGGTATAGAGCAGGCCACAGTCATTTTTATGATTTAATGTGATGTATTTTTTGTACAACAACCTTATTTGACTTTTCAGAAAGCAGCTAAACAAATGTCCTGTTTTTCCCCCACACCCCAGCAGCACATATATCTACCACAAAATAATGACAAGGTTTTGTTTTCAGAATGTTTTAAATTCTCACCAAACGGTCAAAGATTCAATACAAAATAATGCGAAACTGTAATCTTACTAAGTCAAGCAATTCTAAAAAAAACAGTACTGACTCTGGCTGTATAGTCCTGGCAACTGATGAAATCAGTGTAAGCACCAATGGAAGGACCACATTACGATGTGAAGTCAGAAGAGGGCAGCATGGCTGCAAATCTGAAAAACTAGTCTTCATGAAGGCACTGCTGCAGCATGGCACAGTAACAAGGCAATACTGGCATGAAGAGTATCTTAAGCCTCAAACATGGCAAAGCAACCAAATGTATCACTTTTGATATTTACTATCTCATTGAACGAAGGGCGGCACTGTAATTGTTTTCTAATTGCCTGTAAGAGTAAGAGACTTTAAAAAAAATACACCAGACCACATTCAACAAAGCAAAGACACGATGGTTTAGTTATAATAGCCTTCTGAAGCCAATGAATCATTTTTTACAATCAGGAAAATAACACTCTACAGGTGTCGCAGCTGTCACTTAGTGGCTTGAGTTAGTTTTTAAGACACCATTCACCAAAGTGAAGGTCCAGGAGGAACATAAACCTGAGGGCGGTGATAGACGAGTCTTACAGAGTGATTGATTGATAGGCCCGTAATTTATCTGGTTTATTTAAACCTGATTGATATACATGTTTTGGTTAGTAATTTATTGATTACATGTTGGTATTATAACCTGTTTACATGTATATGCTGCTATGTATAGTTTTGTTATAATAATTCTGTAAATCATTTTATTAATTGATCAATTTGAATGATTCCTTGCTCTTAGAAGGACAGATACTTGTTCTCGCTGTGTGACGGAGGGTCACACACACAACTTTAACGCACAATCCCACAGTCTTTTACAAACACACATAAACACACGCACACCCCAACTTTTTATTGTTTTCTGGTATTTTCTTGATTTTCTGATTTGTACCTTCCTTTTTA